AAGGTGGCCATCAAGGTGGGCGGCCGCTACCTGAAGGGGGACCACGCCGGGGTGCTGAAGGCCTGCGCGGAGACCATCGACCCCTCCACGCTGTGGGAGTACTAGCCCCCCCCCGCCCCCCGTCCCCTCTTCTGCCCGCCCCCCCGCCCCCCTGCTAATTCCTCTCCCGGCGGCAGCGCCCAGGGTGGCAGTCCCTGGCTTTCCTACTGGAACCGGATCCCGGGGGTCAGCCCTGCGGCCTGGCCTTAGCAGGCCCGGGACCCTCCGCCCTCTCTCTGCCGTGGGCGAGGCTGGCACCTCTCTGACCTCAGACGTCTCTGAGCCTTATTTCCCCAGAGTGGCTGAGGCGTGGGGGCTGGAGCCCTGGGTGTGGCGGGGATTTAACTGGAATCTCCTGCCCCGCCCCCAGCCCAGGTTCCCCCCAACTCCCCAGCCCTGGGCCCTGGCCCAAGCCCTTCGGTGGCCCCTGGGGCACCAGCCCTGCACCAGGAGGAGCGCCTGCGGGGCCAGGGCTGAAGCTGGCGCCCGTCTCTGTCCCCTCCGCACGGAGCAGGCCCGCCCTGCGCCCTGTGCTCCGGGCCGCTCCTTTCTCTCCCTGGCTAACTGGAAGCAGAAAATGACCAAATCAGTATTTTGTTTTTTTAATGAAATGTCATTGTTGGAGGTGGCGCAGGCGAGCCTCAGGCAGCATCTCCGGGCCTCGGTGCCCCTGCTCCGTGGTGGCTGGCAGGGAGGGCACCTCCCAAGCCCAGAGCCTGCCCCCACCTGCCGGGGGCGCTCACCGGCCCCGCCCTCGCCCGCCCAGCCAGAGCTTCCAGCGGGCGGATTGGTGCTCCTGTCTGACTGGCTCCTGGGTCTCGGGTGGGATGAAGCCGTGTCTCCCTCCTGTGAGGAGACACCCAGCCCTGACCCCCGGCCCCCAGCCGCACCCCTGCCAGCCCCCGACCCCTCTGTCCGCCATGCATCTCACTCTGGGGGTCTTGGTCTTTTCTTTTTTGTAAGTGTCATTTGTATAACTAAATGCCCATGATAGTAGCTTCAGACTGGAAAGAGCAAAATAAAATAACGCATAACCAACGCCGAGGCAGCCTTTGTGTGGGGATGAGAGCAGCTGGGAGGGCAGGCTCAGGGCGACACCTCCGGGGACAGGAGCCCCTGCACAGGGATGGTCCGAATCGGGCACTGGGCTCTCACCCAGGGGAGGCGCTGACTTTCTGGTTCCTCAGTGTCCCAGAGCAGCTGGGGGGCCTGGGCAGGCGGCTTTGTGGTGGCTGTGCCTGCGTGGTTAGGAGGCGGCCATCCAGCCAACAGCAAAAAGGTGAGCACACCTGCCCGGGCAGGTGGCCTTGCCGGGAACCGCAGGGCCAGGCCCTTAAATAGCGGAGGAGGGCTATGCCCCGGGCTCCGGCCCCTTCCGGGGCTGTCTGCGCACAGGGCCCGAAGCTCTGGGCCCGGTGGCCAAGCTCAGGCCAGGGCGGTCCCTCATGGCAGCAGGACCTCGGGCCCGGCTCTGGGTGGAAGGAGGCGGCAGTTCCCGCTGCCAAGGGAGACCTGGGTCCTGAGCCCACGGGCCATGTGGCCAGCAGCGGGGCCTTCGGGCACAGGCTCTGGGCTGGCCCTGCATTTATCCAGGGCACCCTCGGTGGGTGCTGGGCTCCTGTCCTACCAAGGCCAGAGCGGCAGGACAGCCCTCCGTGTGGAACGGGGCCTGCCACGGCGTGTCCAGTAAGGCGGTATTTGAGGGACAGGGACTTGGGGGAGAGGGGGTAAATGGGGGGGACACTTGGGCCTCCGCCAGCCTGGAGCCCCTGGTCCCCACCTTGCTGCGGGAGCGCTGATTGGCTGCTGGTGACGGAACGGGGATGCCTGCGCTGTGATTGGCGGCCCCCGGGGAGTCGGAGTGACAGGAGCAGATGGGGCACAAAGGGATGCGGGGCCTCCAGCGGTGTCCTGGCGGCCAGCCCGCCTGTTAGCTGGGCTGGAGGCCAGAGCTGGCCCAGTGACGTGGGAGGAACAGCTGCACGTTCCAGACCGGGTGGGGGCTGGGAGGTGGGGAGGCAGCTGGAAGGGGTTCGTTGGGGGTGGGCTCCCTGTCGGGCCCTTGTACATCCTGCTGTGCCAAGAGCAAGGATGGCCTGTCCCGGGGTGTCCCAGGGTGCCCCTAACACCCCCAGGCAGGTACTGACATCCATTCTGCAGAAATGGCTCCCGCGCTGGAGGCTGTGGGTTTGAGGGAGAAGGAGGCTCAGGCTTGTGGGGGAGGCGCTCGCACCTGCGGGAGGAGGAGGAGGGCCAGGGAAGGCCAGGGAACCGGTGGCCCAGGCTGTGCCCTCGGGGCGCAGGCGCAGGTGTGCGGACAGGTGTGCACCGTGTCCAGGGCGCGGACATGGTTTCCACGCTCCGTCCTGTGGGGCTGGTGCAGCTCAGACGCACCCGCAGGTCAGGGGACAAGCAGGTCCCCAAGGAGCCGCTTGCGGGGGCAGTGGTGAGGGACCCCAGCCTGCGGGTGCTCAGGGCTGAGCGGCTGGGAGAGGAGAGGCCCTAAGAACCAGCCTGAGGGAATCCCTGCTTCTTCCTCACTCCGTCCTCACCTCCACACTTCCTACCAATTCTCCAGCCCGGAGACGCAGCTGATCTCCCTGTACAGGGGGGAGGCGCAGTTACAGGGGGGAGGCGCGGTTACAGGGGGGAGGCGCGGTTGGGGGAGGTGCAGTTACAGGGGGGAGGTGCAGTTGGGGGTGCGAGTGTCCCCCAAGTCCCACGTGGTTCAGGGTTCAGATTCAGGGTTCGGGCTCTGGAGGAGGCCGCCCCCTGAAGGACAAGGATGAGGAGGAGGCCGCCGCTGCTGCCTGAGGAGGGAGGAGGCGGCGGCTGGTGGGAGGGCCCTCGCCACCGAGGCCTTCGGCAGCCGCTCACCAGGCCGCACACCTGGCCTCCCAGGTCTGAGATGTATTGTGCAATCCCAGGCAAACTCACACAGGAAGGAGACGCATTAAAATACTATCAGTAACCAAACCACAAAAAATCCATCAGCAGTTCCTTTAAAAACAAATCCTCACCTGGGGCCAGAGCGAGAAGTGAGAGCGCAATGGCCGCCCACCTCAAACCCGCTCCGTACCGTTCGGTTCCGGTGACGCCGGCTCCCACCAGGACTGTCCGTGGTCACCTTGACCCAGCGCAGCGCTCCTCTTTGTACGTCTCTGTTCCCAAGGTTTTCCTGTTTTAACAGTTATAACTGGCAGCTGTGTCTCTGAAGAGCGACACGTGAGGGTGGACATGGTGGAGCAGCTGCCAGTGGAGGAGGGTGACGGCGCCTCCAGGTGGTTCCGGGGGAGCCTCAGGCGGCAGGCCGACCTCAGTGCCCCGTGCTGCGGGCAGAGCGCCCAGCTCTCCCCTGCGATGGCGGCTGGTGGCATCACGAGGCCGTGAAGGGAGGAACCCGCTAACGGCATCGAAATGCTCCCCCCCCCTGGTTCTCTCTGGCCGCCCTTCAGAGCCAGAGTAACTTGGGGCCAATCTACACGCAGAAATCTCACAGCCCGAGCCCGGCTCCCAGTGGATAGAGCATCGATCGGCCTGCGGACCGAAGGGTCCTGGGTTCGATTCTGGTCAAGGGCACGTACCTTGGTTTCAGGCTCCCCGGGTTAACATGAACACATTCAAACCTGTAAACAATGTATTGATTTGAGCAAAACTGTCGACAATGGCCGGGAAGCAGAATCTCAACGATTGGCTTAGTGCTCGGAGAATGGCGGGTTTTCATTGCAACCAAAGGAGGGCAGGTGGGTTACAGGAAATCCACTGGAGATGGGCTAGAGGGGCGGCAGAAAGCAAAGCGGGAAACCTCTGGGATTGGATAAAAAGTAAAATGATAGACACATACTTAGGTGGGTAACAGTCACCAATTAACACGGGAATAGTGACCAGGAAGGAATTGGTGGTATCAGTCCTGGCGCTCAGGGCAATAGGTTGTGCCCTGAGGGGTCCGGTAAAAAGGGAAGCTACAAGTCACCCCGATGTTTCACAGGCAAAAAAACCCGTCACCCTGACGTTTCACAGATGCAAAAAAGACCGATGGGCTCGGTTAAGGTAAAGGTGACTTTGTCAGGGAAGATACCGGCCTAGGAGGTGACTACCCACCACAACTGCGTTTAAAGTTTAACTTTAGGCCATCCTTTGTGGTGACTTTAGGTCTCTGAGTTTGCAAGACCGCCATGCAGGCCTCCCCTGTGAACTGCGCGCTTCACCGTCCCCTGGCGCTGGGAACCCAGGGATGTGATGGGCGACTGGTAGACTTGGACTTCCGGCTGTGTGGTGGTTCATATTGCTCAAGGGCCCGCTGTACTTAAAACATACAAAGTAATAATAGTAATGAACCATTCCATAAGAAGTTGCCATCAGCAGAAGACGGATCGCCCCATTTCATTAAAGCTTTGAGCTCGGTTTGAGCCGGAGTGTGCTGTGGTCCACCTGTGCCCAGAATGCCCTCGGGGACCCGGGCAGATCCCTGCAGGTGGGAGCTGGCACCCCATAGGAGGTGCTGGGATGGGTGGCCATGGGCCGGGGCAGAGGCAGGGAAGAGACTGTGCCTGAGGGAGGAGGCCGGGCTGCAGGGCAGGGCCGTGCTGGGCTTCTCTGCCGGGCGCGCTCTGCTCTGCAGCCTTGGTGTCCGGGACACCCCGAGTCCCATCCTCACCCCAACCTTCAGGAGTGGGGGCTGACCACGATTTCTCAAAGGACATTCTGTGCCAAAACACCCAAAAATAAGCCCTTGTGCCCATCCTGGGCCCACTTCCCTCCCGGAGCGGCTGCTCCCGGGATCAGATCCGGCATCTCTGTGGAGTGGTGCTTAGGTCCACTCACCCCAGGAATCTGGGGACCCCTGGGATTTCCTGGGAGCAGTGGGGCCGTGGAAGAAACGAAGCCAGAGGGAGCAGTGTGCACAAACATTTATTTACAAAAGTCCAAGGTACATATGATACAGGCTTTGTACACAGTAGTTAAAACAAGATTATTTTATGTGTTTTTACTACCAGAAAGTAAAGAAAACATTTAGTAATCATTTCTATTTTTATAAAGTGACAGATCATGCTCTTTTAAGTTTTAAAATCCTTTGCTGAGTGCAAATACTAGATTCCTCTCTCCAGTTTTAAGGCAAGTGGAAGGGGACTATCACTGGGCAGTCTCTGGCTCTGTGGAGCACTCGCCAGAGGAGAAGGATGTCCCCAGTAAGGGGTTACCCGTCACCTGCATCTTGTCAGATGATTATGGCCCCATCTCTGCCCAAACCATCACTAGGACTGCTTCCTCAGGAGCCCGGGACCCAGGTCCTGCCTCCGAGACCCTGAGGTGTCTAGAATTCTCCAGGGACAGGGCCTCAGGTTGACCTGGGGAACCAGTCCCTGGGGACTTGCTGATGGCAGTGATGGTGCATGCTTCCTGCCCCAGGCCCTCCACGGCCAGAGCCTGGCTGTGGCCGGAGGGGGAATGAGCCCACCCAGACAGTGCATGGGCCCACACTTCCCTTTGGCGGGGTGTCTGTGGGGGCTCACTGTTCTGAGACCCCCCCCTTTGGGGAAGAAAGCACAGGCACATGCTTTCTCAGGTCCTGTCACTGCCCCCAGGCTGGCAGCGAGGAGCAGGGACAGGGAGGGTGTCCGCTCCCCCTTCTCTCAGGCCTGTGGTACGCTCTGAGCTTCTGGGAACCCCCAGGCAGCAGTGGAACAGCCAGCACAGGAGCCTGGCAGGCTTGGCTCTGTGGGGTGAGGACAAACGGGACAAAGCCTCAATGAGCCTCAAGACAGGGCAGCGGCCGGGCCTGCCGAGCACCTGGTGGGAGCACCTTGATGGGAGAAAACCCCTCCCCACCAAGTCTCAGGGGAGCTGTGGGCGCAGGTTGGCGACAGAGAAGCTCCAGGGAACTACTGCCTGGGAGCCACCAGACCCGGTACAGCTGCCCCAAGGACCGTCCATCTGGCAAGTGTCGGGGCCAGCCGGCTGCGGACTTGGGTGACTGACTTCCCAGACTGAGGAGTTCGTGGCCCCAGAAGCTGGTAACTGCCGAGTGAGCCAGCGGAACGTTTTAGGTAAATCACTGACAGAACCGCAGCTCACTGATCTCAGGTGAGCGGCCGAGAGGAGAGGACAGACTCCACGGCCGTGGCAGGGGTACTGGACATGACACGGGGGACCGTGGCCGCTGCTCTGGCCTCTTCACGGGACCAGGGGCTCAGAGCAGCTCACTCGGGGGCCCAAGGGAAGGGGGCGCTGCGGCCCGACCTGGGGACACGGCTCTCACTCTCCCCAAACGGCACCACTGGGGCTTCAGCTTTATTGGGAACCGGGGCTGTGGCGAGGAAGGCCTGAGTGGTTCTCATTGAGTCGCCTGTTGCCTAGTGCGAGGGGTGGAGGCGAACCTTCCCCGGTCTCTGCAGGGCGGGGCCTGAACTCCCGGGGGCCCGGGCCGGACTGAGCAGAGGGACTGCTGTGCTGGGACCGCTGCATGGCTGCGAGGAGGCAGAACGCCCCGGAGGGGGTGTGCCGCCCCCGATCTCTGGTCAGCAAGAACGAGCGTGCCGGCCACTTCCCCAGGGCCAGAGGCCCTGCAGGAAGGGGAGGGACAAGCAGCCTATGCTTTTGGGAGCCAATCCCCACCGAGAGCACGCAGAGCCACTGCCGCGGTGGACGGGATGTAGCCAAGCCCCGCCTGCCCGCGCTGCTCAGCGGGGCCCGGGCTCGGGGGTCAGAAGCGATGGCGCGGCTGGGGGCCAAAGTGCATGGGCAGGTTGGGCTCCAGGGGCAGGTGCATGGGGGCAAACTCGTAGTTGACGCGCACGTTGGGCAGAGGCGGCACGTACGGGGCCGGGATGGGGCCCATGTTGAGGGGGAAGTTGTTGAACACGGGCCGGACGGGCGGCAGCGGGAAGGCGGGGTGCACGAAGGCGTAGGCGGGGAACTGCGGCTGGTGCAGGTTCTGCGGGACGGGCCTCGGCAGGGCTTCCATCCTCTGGACTTTCTCTGGAGGCTTCTCCAACGGGGGCCCGATGCGCTTGAAGGTGTTCTCTGAGAGGGAGATCGGGTTTGGGAGAGACAGGCTGAGCTGAGCACCTCCCCTTAGGGCCAGGCCACTCCAGGAGGGCCACTGCATTGCTCCGTGGCCTCCGGAGCGCCTACTGTCAGTCTGGGTTGGCGGCTACTTCCTTCCTAAGCGGAAACCGGCCCCTGGGGTCCTTCCTGCCATCAAGGCGGGGCTGGAGCTGTGCTGAGGCGCTCAGGGCTTCCCAGGAGCAGGACGGGGCTGCAGTGTGTCTAGAGCCCCCTGACACTGACTCCCGGGTGGCCCCTGGCAGGCAGAGGGCCAGGGTCCCCGGGAGGCCAGTGCGGGGAGGTGCTGGGCGGGGCCTGTGGAGGGGGAGGGGAGAAGCACTTGCCTCCATTCTTTCTTTTCTGTTCCTCTTCGGCTTCCTTCTGGATTTCCTCAATCAGCTTCTCATCATCTTCCTAGAACAACAACAAGGTGAGAAGCTGGCTCTCCACCAGCTGCATGCAGTGCGGAGGCCCACTGGGATACTGGGATGCCAGTTTGCGCTGGGCAGCAATGGGGTGAAGCCAGAAATCCGCTGCTGACCAGTGGGCCTTCATTCACTCATTTCCAGCTCCCTGGGACTTGGGCCCAGAGCCTGCTTTGTTCCCTCAGCTACGGGGTCAGCAGAGGGAGAGCCTGTCTCATGCAGCTGGGGGTTTGGGGAGCAGTAAGTCTGGTGGGCAGGGCCCGAGGATTCCCGGCTTACTGCCTCTGAGCCCAGCAGTCTGCCGGCTCCCCCCAATAGGCTGCACTGTCTGCTCAGGCCTCCAGCCCTGAAGCTGGCCCTCAGCGCCCGGCGGCTGGCGGGCTGTGGCAGCAGCAGCACCTGCCAGGGAGTGGGCCCGGCCAGAACAGACTTGCCACGGCCCTTCCCAAAGGCAACACCTGATGGGCCGGCTGTGCCGACCGGCACTTCAGACTTGGATGGCCCGCCTGGGCCAGTAGCAGAGGGGCTCTGGCACGGGCAGCAGCTGGGGGCAGGAGGGAGCAGAGGACATTGCACTGTCACACTGAGCGACAGGCAGGCCTGGTCTGTTTTGGGGTCTTCCAGCTGTTGCTCTTGGAGTGAAGAGCAGCCAAGCTGAAGCAGCACAGGGAGGGGCAGTGGTGCCCAACATGGGGGCGGGAGGGTGAAAGCAAGTTTTGGTGCTTCAAGGGCCTGCTGCCCACGGCGTCTCCCCGGCCCGGTGTGACCTCCTCCCGCAGGGTGTGTTCTGGGGAGCAGTGTCAGCGTGAGCCTCGTTTTCCGTGCTGACCCGAGGCTCTGACTGGGTGCAGCCACAGAGCGGAGGACGAGCTGGGAAGGACCCTGGCAGCCCGGGCCCAGAGGGGGCAGCCCCAAGGTGGAGCTGTGCAGGGGGCGATTGGCAGATTTACTGCGGGTGGTGGTGGTATGAACGTCACAGCCAAGACAGCAGTGTGAGGGTTCGCCAGGCAGCCGCGAGCCCCCGAGGATGCCGGAGTCACGTTTTCACTCAGCCAGCGTGTCAGATATTGCTCTGTGCCAGGCACTGTTCTAAGTTCACTGGTTCAACTTCTGGTCAACACCCGGACGGACGAAGTGAGTGAACAGCACATACTGCTGTCCTTTCGTTGGCAGGTAAAGATCTCAGGACAGGTCCCTGCAGACTGGGCTCTGCGGGCAACACTGGGAGCCCATTCAACTCTGCCTTCCACGCTCCAGGCCTCAGCTGATGGTCTGGACTCAATGGTCCCAAGGACTCTCCAAACTCCGCATGTGACACCCCTTTCCAGCCTCGCCTGGCCAGCCGATCTAGGAGCAAGGCCAGGGGCACAGGAGCCGGGACAAAGGTTAAGACCCATCATGCATCTCGGCCGCGGCTAAGTGCTTGCGCACATCAGAGTCATACGTCCAGAAGGGATCCCGGCAGGTGGCACGCCCACCCCAGGAATGCAGAACCTGCTAAAACAGCCGAGACGCGGCCACCCAGCCTCTCTGCCAGCACCCAAACGAGGAGCTCCCTGCTCTACCAAGTGTGCACTGAGCAAGGCAACACGAAGGGCCCTAGCAACTCCGGTCTGGCCTTCATATGAATGTCAGGTAAGCTCTACCAATTATCCAGACTAGAAGCTGGCAAACCTCTATTTTGGCGCCAGGGGCATACCTAGGAAGAAAGATAAAACGAAACAAAAGGGAAGTGATGAAGATGAAGGGAAGCAGGAGCGCAGTGCCTATACCTCGCAACAGGTCACCTGGGCGAGCTGCTGAGTCTCAGCCCCTCGTGGAAAACCGGCTGCTGCAGGGAAGGACTGATGAGCTCCGTGTGTAGAGGCCTCAGCACGAGGCAAGCACTCAGGACTAAAGGAAGGCGAAACCAGTGTGGCTCAGTGGATAGAGCATCGGCCTACGGACTGGAGGGTCTCAGGTTCTATTCCGATCAAGGGCATGTACGTTGGTTGCAGGCACATTCCCAGTGAGAGGTGTGCAGGAGGCAGCTGGTCGATGTTTCTCTCTCATCGATGTTTCTAGCTCTCTATCCCTCTCCCTTCTTCTCTGTGGAAAATCAATAAAATATATTAAAAAAAGAAAAAGGACTAAGGTAGGAAGTCTGACAGATGGCAGCCAGACTGCAGCACGATAAGAAGTTCTGAGAAAAATGGCACACATTGGGAGATGTCCCTACATTTCTCAGTGGCTTTTTTAGGTACAAGTGACAGGTTTCTCGACTGGTCACTTATTAACGATAACTATTATATTAGTACTCCCTTCACCATCCCCACCACCGATCCCTATATCCACCACATCACCTCGATGGGAGGCGCAAGGCCCCTGGCAGCACAGAAGGCATCTTAGACCCCCCCCAACCCCCCAGCTTCCTCACGGCACAGACACCGAGGACCCAGAGGAAGGAAGCAGCTCCATGTTACGGCGAGCTGGTGGGAAACAAGCAAACGCTTTATGCTGCTCCATGGCCACTCCAAGGGCTTTTGGGAGAAAATGGCAGAGTCCGGAAGGCTTCCCTGTCCACTGCGGACCTGAAGGGGCAATCTGAAGGGCGTAAGCATTGCCGCTCTCACGGTCAGCACCGAGAGCCCTGGCCAGGGTGGCTGCACCGAGAGGCCGCCGGTCAGATCCCAGGCAGGGCACACGCCCAGGCTGTGGTTCCAACCACAGTGTGCGAGGCAACTGGTCTCTGTTTCTCTCACAGTGATGTTTCTCCCCCTCTCTCCCTTCCTTTCCTAAATCATTAAAAACAAAACAAAGAAAACAAAAAGCAGCCAGTACTGAGTGTTGGGTATAGATCAGGCCCTGCTGGGTGCACGGCAGAAACAGTTCTGCAGGAAGTGAAGAATGAGGGAAAGAGAGGTTTCCCTTCTGGGTAGAAGGTTCCAGGTCCCCTAGCACTGCTGATTCTACAATGCGTACCCGTGCTGACCCCATGCTCCTGGCGGACGCAGCCTAAGGGTTCCCTCAGGTGGGTCCGAGGCCTGGCAGAGTGGGTGTCAGCTGAGCTTCCTGGTGCAGATCTGCCAGCCCCGGGAGGACAGGGCGGCGGTGCTCCTGCTGGCACAGGCGCCTCGCTGCCACTGAGACCTCCCTGGAGGAGGGACAAGGAGCCTCTGGACTCTTCCCTTCCTTCCTCTGCTCCGATCGCTCCAATCTGCTGAGTGTACTCAAGACCATCTGTCCTTACGCCCTGTCCTCCCCCGCAGGCAGTGCCCTTAGTCTGAATTCAGCCTGTATTTCACCAGAAAAGGTCAGCACTCAACTACTTTGAGCAGTGATTGTTAGCATCAATAATGAGTGAACTGTCAGTCACACCTAGAATATGGGTCAGGAGTTTCAGATTTCAACTTTCTCCACTGGCTGGAATCACAGGACACAGTGTTTCGAAACTAAAAACGAAAACACTGCCTCACAGCTCTGGCCAGCCTGTGCTGCTCCGTGGTTAGAAAGTTGCTCCCCCACTCCAAGGGTTGAGAGTTCAATTCCCAGGTTCACTCCCCACATTGATGTGTGTTTCACATCCATGTTTCTCTCTCCCTCTCCCCCCCTCCATCTTTTTCACTATCTTTAAAGTCAATGGAAAAAAAATATTGGATGAGGATTAAAAACAAACAACGAACAACCCTAAATACTGCCTAATATATATATTTTAAATGATAGTTTCAGCCAAATATGTTAGATTCTAAAGGGAAGATTTCTTACTTCATCTGGGGTGTAAATTCTTTCCACAAGCAGCTTCTCTCAAGCATTTTAAATTCCTCAAGTAAAGAGTGAAGACAGACTGAACTTTACACTTTATTTAAAAAAATATATTTTGATTTTACAGAGAGGAATTGAGAGGGATAGAGTGTGTAGAAACGTCAATGAGAGAGATACATTGACCAGCTGCCTCTTGCACACCCCCACTGGGGATGTACCCACAACCAAGGTACATGCCCTTGACTGGAATCGAATCCGGGACCTTTCAGTCTGCAGGCCGACCCTCTATCCACTGAGCCAAACCGGTTTCGGCTGAGCTGTACACTTTTTAAAAAAAATATATATTTTATTGATTTTTTACAGTGAGGAAGGGAGAGGGAGAGAAGAATCAATCAGCTGCCTCCTGCACACCCCCCACTGGGGATGCGCCCACAACCAAGGTACATGCCCTTGACTGGAATCGAACCTGGGACCCTTCAGTCCGCAGGTCGACACTCTAGCCACTGAGCCAAACCGGTCAGGGCAAGCTGTACACTTTTATTTTTTTATTTTTTTTAATTTTTTTTTAATATATTTTATTGATTTTTGTACAGAGTGGAAGGGAGAGAGATAGAGAGTTCGAAACATCAATGAGAGAGAGTCATTGATCAGTTGCTTCTTGCACACCCCCTACTGGGGATATGCCCGCAACCAAGGTACATGCCCTTGACCGGAATCGAACCCGGGGTCCTTCAGTCCCCAAGCCGACGCTCTATCCATTGAGCCAAATCGGTCCCGGCAAGCTGTACACTTTTAAATAGCAAGTTTTACTTTATATATATTTTACTACAATTAAAAAATTAATGTTAAACAAAAGAGAAAGTCATTGTAGGGTTATTTTGAGATAAAACCTGAAGACTGGCTCCCCATCAGAATACCTCTCGGCTCGGGGCTGAGTGACAGCGAGCACCGAAGCCTCCGAGGGCAGCTCCTCGGGAAACAGGCTCAGGGAGTGAGGACCCGGCGGGCCGGGGACACACCTCGGCCGCTGGAAATGCAGACAATGGGAGGAAAGAGGATGTGAGGCCAGGTGCGGCTGAGTCACTCAGGAAACCAGGGAGCGGGGGCTGAGCCAGCGCTCACTCTGATCTTCCTACCAGCGCCGCGAGCCAGGTGCCAGGTGCCGGTCACCGAGCCCCCTCGCAGATGCGGAAACGAGGCCTGGCTCAGAGCCTGACCAGCTCCCCGCTTCTGAACGGAGCTGCGGGA